TCAAAATAATTTTCTGAACACTTTTCACCTTTCAAAACTCAAAAATATCGATTTTGAGCCGAGTTATGCTAAATTTTGTGGCATTGCTCAGAATAAAATTTTCGAGTGTTTCGATTATAACTCGGCTCGAAATAAAGATTCCGGATTGGTTTTAGGTCCGAATTTCAAGGAATTACAAAACGCATCTAGTCATATAAAATCTATCAAATTGCTTGAAAATTGGATTGGTGGCCTAGTTTCCTCCAAGTTTGGTTTTCTAGGCCACCATGCCAAATTTGAGTGGGTACTGTCCAGTACAACTTCCCGATCATTTTCCACTCATCAGAATTCAAAAACATTGATTTTGAGCCGAGTTGTGCTAAATTTTGGGAAATTGCTCAGAATAAAAATTTCCAGTATTATGATGAAAAAATCTCACATTTCAAAAAGCTGTTTCCACTGTGGTCGTGTTGATTGTGGCATCGGGTTAGTGGTTGGCGAGTCGAACTTGTTCGATGGAAACAGAATTTTCGGGAACAATTCCAGACGAACAAAGTAATCCACTCGGTCGGAGAGCACGTCGATCCATTCAATCGGTGACATTTTTACTACTGTAAAGAATTGTTTGGTCTTTATGAGGCAAGACAATCTCGCTGTCTGCGTCTCTCATGATCCGCCAAGAAAGGGGAGACGCAGAAGGCAAGAGTGCCTAGCTATCTGCGTCAATTCTTTGGTAAGCTGCCTTCCGAAAGACCGAGAGACGCAGGTAGCTAGGCGGTCTTGCTGCCTGCGTCTCCCACTGTTTTGACAGCCAGCCACAGAAAGGAGACGCAGACAGTGAGAGTGTCTAGTTGTCTGCGTCTCTTCTGTAGTCTGCTAACTTCCAGTAGACCAAAAGACGCAGGCGGCAAGACGGTATTGCTCTCTGCGTCTCCCATTCTTTGAACGGTCAGAGCTAGGAAGACGGCACGAGTGTCTAGTTGTCTGCGTCTCTCTCCCCCAAACTCACACTTAATTTGAATCGATATCGTGTCCTCCTGTTCCAATTTCACATACGAAATATGGACATCCACATGAGGAGCATTTCCGAATCGGGTTCTATCGATTTTCTCACAAAGGGAGTCGTAATAAGAGAGAATTAGGTCTTTGGTCGAGAAACTGTTCAGATGGAGATCCGATAGTAGTTCGATATCCTTGCGATCATCAATTTCCAGGAATTCGTAGATGTATTTCAAGGCGATCTGGAAATTAAAGTGGGTGAAATGGTTAGAGAGAGGGAAGAGACGGAGACAGCAAGACAGTCTCGCAGTCTGCTTCTCATCTGCAGAGAGATCATCAGCTGCAGAAAAGGCGCAGACGACTAGACACTTTTACTGTCTGGCTCTCCTCAAAAAGAGACACAGACAGCTAGACAGTCAAGTAGTCTTCGTCTCCCCTCTCTAGATATGACTATTAGGAAATGTGAGACGCAAACAGAAAGACTGTCTAGCTACCCAGCGTCTCTCTCTCACTCTCTCGTGGTCTATCCGAATATACGTTGAGACGGGACGCAGACAGCTAGACACTCTCATCACCTGCGTCTCCACTCTCGACTTCTAGCTACTAAAATGGAGAAGACGCACGCAACTAGACACTCTTGTCGTCTGCGTCTCTTCGAGTTACTGTAACTCACATAAATATTACTGTAGTATTCAGCCGGCTGCCTCTGTCGAATGTTCTTCCGAATTTGGGTCTCAAGAGAGGTGGCAAAGTGTTGAGTGGATAGTTTGAAGCAGCTGTAAATTTTGTAGTCTTTGTAGTTTGTACAATGAAAGGGAGAGACGCACACTGTGAGACTGTCTCGTTGTCTGCGTCTCTTCTAAACTCACTTCGGCAACAAAAGACACCTCACATCGTCCACCAATCCGTAACAACACTCCAAAATACTCTCGATCCGCTCCGATGACGTCACCTCTCGCATATAGGATTTCTGGAATTTTCGGAAACGGTGGCCTAGAAAAATCCTCGGCCCTCATACCAGTCCACTATTCGACTCCTTTCCGTCGGCACACAGGTTTTTGGCTATTCGACTGACTATATCAGTTTTTAGGCGAACGAAATGGGATAAAAGTACAGAGATTTGGTGTTCACACGTCTCCCGGGTGGATTTCAGGAGGCGTGTGGAGGTGGTTCGGACGGCAGCCAGGTCGTCCACGTCGACGTACTGGAAAATGGTTACAGTAATCCTGAGAGAAGATACAGTAATCCCAGGTTACTGTAGGTCAAGTTACAGTAACCTTGGATCGAGCTACAGTATCCCATGATACAGTAATCCTTGATAAATTTTATGTGCTCCTAGACGCACTTACAGTAACCCTAGTTTCAGCTACCGTACCCATGGAATTAACTACAGTAACCTCGGGAGTCAAGGTACAGTAGTCCAGAACAGCTACTACCGTAATCCTGAATATTAGAAGAGTTCTGGGTCTAGCTACAGTAAGCCTAGTACCAGCAACCGTACATGTGAATCTTTTTTTTTTTGAAAAATATGTTTCTAGAACCAACTACAGTAACCCCGGAGCTTCTGGATTTAGGTACAGTAACCCGAGATCAAATTACAGTACTCCATTGTCAAGGTACAGTATCCAGGGGCAGTATCTTCTCTATCAAATAAAATAGGTCCAAATTAGGGGTGACTCAGGAGCTACACTAAAGCTAGATTCCAAAATGATCCCGGATCAAACTACAGTAGCCATTAGTCTAGGTACAGTACTCCCCGGAAAAACATACAGTAACCCAAGACTAACCTACAGTAATCCCAAAATCAAAAAACCAACCTCCTCAACCCTTTGAAACTGTGCGAATCTCCGATACCCTTCCTCCACAAAACACATCGCCTGTTCGATTCCATTGGTGGCTCTCACAAGACGGGAGGCCTTCTCCTCGTGATGTCGCATCGCTTCGGAGAACAGTTTTTTGGCGTACGCGTTGATGTTTTGACACATTATCTGGAAGATTTGGGGTGGGGGGTTGTGGGATCACAAAAACTACGAAAACTACAAACTACAGTGTCCAGAATCTAGATTTTCTCCAATGATGCTTGTTTGTAGCTATTGTAGTTTTTGTAGTCTTTGTAGTTTTGACTCACATTAACCACCGAAGCCGAACAAATCACCAAATGATGAGGCAAAGTGAACTCCAATCTCGCCATGTCATCCGAAATTCCTGGAATTTTTTTTACAGTAATCCTAGATCAAACTACAGTAACCCATAACTACAGTAAACCTCGGTCAACCTACAGTTCTCCCAGGCCGTGCACAAAAATTGGTCCAGGGTTCAACTACAGGAACCCAGCTTGCCCATCTCCTCCTCAGCAAACTACAGTAACCCAGGAATCTTAAATCAGACTACAGTAGTTTTGCAAAAACTTTGAGTCAACCTACTGCAACAGGTCTACAGTAATCCCAGACAGTACCCCCAGATGCCCAAAAACAAGCCAACTACAGTATTTTTGATCTGGGATCCAACTACAGTAACCCACAATTTCAGATCTACAGTAATCGTTGATAAGGACTACAGTAGTCCAGGATCCTACTACAGTAACCGTTCCCCTCGCCCCCTCGCCCCTTTTCCTACAGTAACCCCACCGTACCTTTTTGAATACACAAAAACGAATAGAGTCCAGCTGGAAGAGGCCGTCGCGCTCCATACTTCACCGAATCCCCATCCTCATCCAAAGTGATAGTCCGCTCCACCATCTTCTGAGTGACCTCCCGCCACGAAAACGTCCAGAATACTGTGATATCCGTGAACCATTCCTCGAAATGGAAGAGTTGACATTCGGGTAGGTGAAATGCTTCGACCATGTTCAGCAGGTTCCGGAGGGTGACAAAAAGACGCATGGTGGTTTTGGTGAAGTTCTCCAGATCAATGGGGTTCCGAAGATTTATTTCGTGGAGTTGGTAGTCCAGGGAGGCTTTGATGGCGATTGTGAGCTGGAAAAAGGGAGGATGAGAGCGCAGAGAACAAGACAGTCTCGCTGTCTGCGTCTCTGAGATAGTGTAGAGACGCAGGCAACAAGAGTCACTAGCTGCCTGTGTCTCATCTGCAGAGGTAGAATGAGCTAACAAGAGAGCGCAGACTGCTATACACTCTCGTTGCCTGCATCTCTCCTTTCTAGCCATATCTATCAGAAAGGCAGAGAGAGAGAGAGAAAGAGAGAGAGAGAGAGAGAGAGAGAGAGAGAGGTAGCGAGAGTCACTAGATGTCTGCGTCTCATCTGCAGAGATTGAACCAGCTAGAGAGAAGAGATGCAGACAGCCAGGCACTCTAGCTGCCTGCATCTCTCCTCTCTAGCTCTGTCTATCTCGCTGCCTGCGGCTCGTCTTCAAGAGACGCAGACGATCAGACAACCAAGCTGTCTGCGTCTCTAAGAAGCAAAGATAGAGAGATGCAAACAGCGAGACTACGCTGCTTCTTCAGCTCTCCTTCTCTCCGGGAAAGAGACGCAGACGACCAGACATTCTGTCTAGCTACGTCTCTCGCAGCTACTCACCGACTCATCCAACTTCAACATCGCAGCTCCAATATAATTGATATCGAATTGATGAAAAAAGATATAATATGGTTGACTCTCATTCGACAATGTCATCCACAAATTCTGAATCTGTCGGCATAATTCATGGAATTCCATCTTCTTCAACGACTCCCCGTACTTCCAGGCACTTTTCTCCAGTAGTTTCTTCAGTTCCGACGACAGGAAATTCGATGGATTCGCCATTGTTTCGAATTCATCCCAAACATCCAAGACGCATATATCGGCGATGAGTTTCAGCGAGACATTTATCGATTTTAAGCGAGAATTGGAGACGGGCGGGAAGAATGGCTCATTGGAGTAGGGCTCCAGAATGAATCGAATCGTGTTGCACGCACAATCGTTTAGGTAGACGAGGGCTGGGTTCTGGAAGACTAAATGATGGCCTAGGAGTGGAGGGGTGGCCTAGAAACCCAAAAAATGGGTTGAGGGAAAAAACAAAAAGGTTTGACTCCCACGGGGGTCGAACCCTTGTTGAAAATTTCAAAAACAGCAGCGCTAGCCACTGCGCCACCAACGCGGCGCGCAGAAACAGCAGCGAAGGCATAGAGGAGACTGCCTCTTTCTTCACTCACCAGCAACGGATGCTGCAAATCCACCTCCGATTCGCACGCCGCCATTTTCAGACTAACATCTGTCAGAGCTTTTTCATCGAGTTTCTGGAAAACAATTCCTTCAAAAAGTGGGCGTGTCCACCCTTACCTTCATTTCATCGTCCCAAACCAGGAAGCATGTCATTTCGCTGGAATTTTTAGATTAATTAATTTCTTTTTTTTCAGGGAAATTCAAAAAAAAAAGAGGAAGAAACTCACGTAATTTTGAGGACAAAAGACGGAATTTCAAAGAAGAATGCGATTGAATAGAACATGGCGAACGTCGGGTCGCCCAGATTTCCATCGTATAGTTCGGTCTGGAAATGGAAATGATTGGTGGTCTAGAAAAATCTGGCCTAGGATTTTCTAGGCCATCCAATTATGAAATTGTTGATTAACACTTTGGGGGGGGGGGCTCGAATCTCGCACCGTGGCCGCGACGCGGTCGCAGCGCGCCTGAAGACACACACACACGCGGGAAATTCTTTCTCTGCGCTATTTTTCCGTCTTTTTTTACTATTGTTCACCAAAAAATTCGGCAAAAAACCGGAAAAAATTATTCAGGAAGCGCAAGATGATGACCTAGAAAACTCCGGTCGTGTAGTCTGCGTGGACAATATTTGAAAAAAATATTTTTGAAAATTTGTTTTAATCGTTTCTCCGGCTTTTTTCCCTTTGTCAGCAGTAAAAAATTCGAAAAATTGTTTACACTTTTTTTCTCGTTTCAAAAAAAAAACAGAAAAACGTCATTTTTCTGCACAGCTCTGGTTCGCGCCCTAACCGCTACGCGACCGCAGCGCGTACCCGGCATGATCAGATGCGCAGCGGTCGCGTCGCGATCCCCTGTCACATACTTGATGGCCTAGAGAAACAAAACTAGGCCACTCGCACAACAAACCTCACAATTCTCGGCCTGCCACTCATGAAAACTGCTCGTCATCTCCAAAAAATCATCAAATTCCATCAGTGGTATCATATTCCGATGATCATTCCTTACAAGTGTCATCTCCAATAAAACCGACTTTCCATTTCCCAAATTTATATTTTTCCGAACCGATACATCCAATGGGAAAACACTCATTTTCAGAATTTCGTCTCCAGATTTTTTGTCGGAAAATGTGAGTCGTTTGAGGAGGGAAGCAGATCGGGAGACTCCGGATTTCTTGGGGGTTCCGTCCTTTTTGAGGGTGAGGCCAAACTTTAGGGAGACATCTTTGCACGTGCTGATTTCTCTGTAAACGGTAGGAGTTGTGTATATAGACACTGCGCGCCTCCGGCGCTTCGGCAAGACTGAGGGGACGAGAAACAAAAAATCCTGGCTCATAAAACGAAATTGGGCCGGCCACGCTGATTTGGTAGATAAAAATTTATACCAATCAATAGAGCATTTTTGATCTACAACTTTCAGATTTTTGGTGACCTAGAAATTCAATATTAGGCCATTGGGGGTAGGGCCCCTTAGTTTTTAGCACCCTGTTTTGACACACATTTACTGACGTAACCCTATATGATATTTATACCAATCGATAAAGAATTTTTTGATCTACAGTTCATACTTTTGATGGTGGCCTAGAAACCCAAATCTAGGCCACCAAATCAGCAATTTTCAGATTTACTTGAATCAAAATTTCAGCCTTTTTTTCAATTTTGAGCATTCAAATTCTTCAGAAAATCAAATTTGAATTTCAGTTTTTTTCCCGCATTTCCAAAAAAAAAACTCACAATTTAGTGATTCCACTCGTTTTCAGCACCTGTTGTCGACATGTGTCTGGTCTGGAAATTATCAGATTATGGTATTTTTCAGTTTTTAAAAATTGAATGTGCCTTTGAACGTTTTCAGGTGGTGGCCTAGAAAAACCTAGGCCACCAGATTCGAAAAAAAAGACTTACTCCAAAACATAGGCATAAACATTGTCGGGACAACTCGCTGATGATCCTCCACTCCCTCCTCCCCCACTACCAACTGGACGTATTTCCAGAGTGTATGTTTGCTGAAAAAAATTGTCTGAAAATGTTTTTTCACCTGAAAAAAACTTACAAATTTTTCACATTTTTTCCGCAACGATTGAAGGCGATCTTTGACTTTGAATATCTGAATTTTTTGACTTTTGATGTTTCTTTTTGTTTTGATGGCCTAGAAATCCCAAAAATGGCCTAGAACCCCAATGTTGTGGCCTAGAATAACTAAAATGACCGAAAAAGCAAAGATGACCTAGGAAATCCAGCGATGGCCTAGAAACCCGAAAATGGCCTAGAAAAACCGGATTTGGGCCTAAAAGAAACAATGATGACCTAGAAAAGCCAAGATGGCCGAGAAAAATTAATTGTGGCCTAGAAATCCAAACACGGTGTAGATAAAACTAAAATTATGGCCTAGAAAATTGATAGTGTGGTCTAGAAACCCAAAGAACGGCCTATACGCCCAATATAGTGGCCTAATTTTTTCAATTGGCTCAATTTTGGTTTTTTTTTCACAAAAAAATCCAAGTGGCCTAGAAAAACCAATGGTGGCCTAACTTTCGCCAAAATTGACCTACCTCCGAAAACCGATCAATAATAGTCTCCAAATGCGCGGGGTCCTCACAAAAACTAATCGAAAGTGCTGCACAAATCGATTCGAGTGCCTCCTCTCTCATTTTTCAGAATTATTTTAGCAAAAAAAAAAGAGAGACGGGAAACATTTTGATAAGGAGGTATACCCTACTCAATGTTTCAAAATGTGTGATAAGAGGGTTAGAAGAGAGGAGGAGGAGAGGAAATGATGATTAAATGTGATTTTTGACATTCTCACATGAATTTATGATCTATGGTAAGACTTACTGTAGTTTTTAGACCTTCCCGGAACGGAAATAAGTGGTGGCCTAGAAAACCAATTTTTGAAAAAGTTAGGCCACCGACACTCAAAAAATGCGCCTTCAAATTTTCTACAAACAGGTCAAAAAACCATCCCGAAAACTTCATTTTCAGCAGAGTTATAGTCGAAATTCTGGAAAACTTTATTCTGACAAGGGAATGACCCCAGGTGTGCCGCTGATTTCTCGGTTATATTTTGTGATTGGATGGTACTTGGGTTAACTATGAAAAATATGAAATTATATCGGCCCTCTCCCGTGTTTACGGGAGTTACGACACTATATTCACTTTTCCACTAAATCCGGACCACTCAACTTTCGGACGACGTAACTTTGTTCGTTTTCAAGATTTTTACTTGAGTTTTAGCTCAAATTGTAGAGTATTAGGTAGTCTTCAAAAATGTCAACTGAGACATTTTTCCATCTTTTACAGGAAGCTCAGAAATATGACAAACGCCGAAAGTATGAGTATAAGTGAATTCGAAAAGTCTCAATTTTTGGATTTTAGTACTCGGGAGACTATGACCATTTGATTCCTACTAGTCAATGATGCAGGTATACACAATCAAATATAGGTCGAGCCTTTGAGTTACGGGACTTATTTAACTTTTTTCAAAATTTTTCCCTTTTTTCATGTATAGGGATACGTGGATATGGTCGAAAGTTCATTATTTTATTTTTGGCAGAACTTAATCGAGTGGGTTAAAATGGACTCAGTTGTTCACGAAAAACATATTTTTGTAAAATATAAACTCCCATTTGTTCTCAAATTCAGTGAATACCCAC